CAGCGCCTAAAGACGTGTGGTATAGTGGGATCCGCGTGGATTCCTGCCTAACACTTATGAGCAGTGCATTACAATAATATAGTCACCGGAATTGTTTGTAAAACCTAGCTCACGCAATTGCCTGGAAGAATCGCATAAGGCGCTGACAATAGGCGTGGTACGACCGTGTAGATTGTCTACCACTCACCGAACTATAGGTACTCTATGATAGCTGGAGCCATCCCATTACGCAGAATGTGGCAGCAGTTGGTGTTGTCCGGTCGTGTACTTTTAAGGGTTGTGCACCACTTACTTCGCGATTAGGAGCAAACACGTCGTGTGTCGTAAAGTACTTCTAACGTACTAACGTAAGCTGAGGAGTGTGACAGTGTCTCTCAGGTGAATCAGGAGAACGTAGTTCTTACAACTTGAAGAAAATGACAACTAATCTGTTTTGTTAGTGGTGAGAAACCCTTTTTAGGCTAAGTCGTATGTCCCCTGCGTAGATTTTTCAGGTTGCAATCGGTAATCAGTTGCACGTTTTTGCCTCTCAACCGTCATAAACGATGTGTAACGCTCTTCTTTCTTTGATTCAGTGGTAAGCTGTTCCAGATGGTTCTTACCAGAAACTGTGTCTATGGGACTTTCGACTCTATACCCAGGCTGTTACACATCCTACATGCCCTCCTCTGTTGCCATACACTTCCTCATCGATCTCGTCTTAAACCAATCTTTCTATGGGTTAGTCAACTGTTTCTCGTTTTTTGGGAGACGAAAACAGTTGCATGGTTGCTCGGAGGATGAAAAAGTGAAGTAAAATTCTCTGTACGACACCCATTAGTTATCTTGTGTGTCACTTCTCGCCATCCAGAGTTACGTAAACTTGTCGAGTGTTCCACGTCCACTTACCAGCTGCACAAGCCTCACAGATGTTTATTAACCGCTTGGAACAAAATATTTGGTGTCATTTGAACTTTGTTCTTGTGATGCTGATAACTCCACGTACTCGTACTACTCTCATTCTCCTGTTGTCAGGTTTTACCCATAGAAAACAAAATGGCTCATCCGAAGGGCTATACCGATCTCACTGGTGTGCTTAACGTGGGTATGGTTGTCGTGATTTGCGTGTGTGCCTCGGTCGGCTTCTTCGGCTTTCTAAATGCAGGGGACAATGCACAAGGCAGCATCACTCTGACAATCCCAGAACGACCGTTGTAAGTGACCTTCGCGTACATCAATAGATGCATGTTTGTTGGTTTGAGTTACCTCTTATTTCTCAAGTCATTTTAGTTGAACTTGTCGATGATGATCTGTCCTTCCTGTTTACATTAACGATACCGCACATATTAGGAAGGCGTCAGTAAGGTGTCGGATATTCTAGCTGGTGTTGCTACAGACTAGACCAAAATCATTCTATATAAAGGGGCCTTTGTGAGTCGGCTCTTGTAACTTCTTCCTACAGGTAAATCGAACCCAGATGGGCGCAAAACTGGACCTATTTTACAATCATTTTCTTTGAAAGCCCACGGCAGGCTACCGAAAGTCCGCGATTGTTCTGGATCGCGCCATTTATGTTTCTGTCTGTCGGTACTCAACTTTGCCGTTACTCATGTTCTGTGGTTAAAACACAGCAACATGTCTGATAGAATTCTTCGGTTACTAAACATCGGTGCATTCCGCGCAAATCTACTTAACACGGTCTTGTACAAGGCTATAGGAGATAAATGTTTTTAAGTAATCCAAAAAAGGTTTTGCTCTTCAGTACGTTTTGATCGGTCGATATCTGACGGTTTCGTCTCGCCAATAACCGTGGTATTTGTTTGTGGCAGTTCTCTGACCGATTGAAGCTAATTGTGGATGATGTCTGATTGCTTTAGCGCCTCGTTTACACTCGGCCAAGATTATGCTAGACGGTAAAGCCAGCAACAGTGCTCTTCGACCAAGTGAGGTCACACAGGACCTGGTCACACGATATTTGAATTACCGGACATGTTTGTGTTGACCGTTTTTCGTGTGCTTTTTTGTTATATTGATCAGTTGGAAATTATTCTACCATATCTTCCGTGAATTGTTGATGCCGATATTATTTTTCTGCTAGCTTATCAGATTTAACTTGACTTCATATAGTTGGCCTAATCTGCTTCACATTTGGTTCTGTTCACATCATATGGATTCATTGGAAGAAGAGGACAATCCGTCTCACTTAGAAGATGGCTTTCCGGCGATTTTTCGGAATATTAGTAGCTGGGGTACGTTTATTAGTTTTTGATCAGGTATCTGTTGACCCCTTCGTCAAGCTCGGCGGGTGGGTCCGCAGTCACTTGATCAACAACTACTAAGGAGGCTTTCTCTCGAGGATGCCGTTCTCAGTTCTGTCTTAGAGGGATTACTGTACCGACCGCTGGAATTTCGTCCGGTTCATCTGATTCGTCTGGTCCATCTGGTGTTTGATGATTCGACACACTAACCACATGTAATTAGTGACAGAACGTGTGTTGTCACTGCAAGACGCGTTCAAGTTGTTTTGGGTTGATCGACCAAATTACGCACGCATTAAAAGGTAAAATGTCCCGAAAATAACTGCATTTGATGAGGGTACAGCAGTCTTGTTTGCCTCGGCTTTTTCACGGGTGGTTGCTGGATTTGTAGAATTCACGTCATTCACATCATTCTCTTTAGAACGGTCCTCCTCTTGTGCGGGTGTGATCATTCTCGTGAATCAACATGACAGATGCCCGGGATTCGAAGCCTGGCGTGGCCATGGATATGGACTGCCAATTAGGTCTAATAACGGTGAAACTGGAATCTAGTACCTTTTCTCTTAGGTCTAGACACACCAGAACGATTATGCCAGTACAACAGGAGTGATGTTCCGGCTTCATCCGTACCAGGGTTGTACATCTTGTGTATCCATGGGAGCAAGCACGTACTACGATGACTGTCGAAACAGTTGCTCGTGCATGGTGTTCTTGCTTATAAGGGTCGTTTGATTGGTAAAGCAGACCTGCGTCCCGGGTAACCGACGTACCACATATTACATGAGAGTGCATGACCATCTGTATATCATCTAGATCTGTACCGATGTATCTTTTCAAGGCAGGTTTATTTTTGATTAGTTGCGAACTAAAAGGAATAAACCTAGTCAATTTACGTTGAAGTTGGAGGCGTGTTGTACCGCTTCTAAGTACTCTTCATGAATGTAACCAGAAGGCTGTTACAGATTTCTCAGTGTTCGATATCGTTTTCAGCAGTAGAATTAGAAATCGTGCACAGAATCCCAATAAAATGACGATAGCGATTCAAGTTTCTTCTACTTACACTTTTCAGTTTTTTTTAATTGAAATATTTCGTCTGTATCGGCAAAGCTTGAGAATGACTTGAGAATGACTGTTGGTAGGATACTGGGGGACGAACGATTCAATGCAGGTTCAGAATCTTCGGTGTGTAATATTCTCCAGTGGCGAATTTCGAACAGACATCCTCACTGAATTATAGTCATGTCTGGTCAAGACTAAACACCTACACGGATCGAACAATCCATTAGTGCAGCCGTATTACATCTTACAAATGGTACTGGTGGAACGACATCCTCACCTGCGGCAATGTCTTCTTTCCGGCTGTGTAAAACGGGATACACGCGGCTGATAGTTCATTTCGGAAGTGCAACAAACAACTCCGTCTTGCCGCCGATCTAATTTTGTTCGTTCAACGACAGTGGTCTGAAGCGGCTTCAAACAATCGTAGTGCTATTCAAAGTTGTAGAAGTTGAAGCACAAAAATTAACTGTTATTTACGTAGGATCTTTATCAAGCCATCAGTTAAACACAGGCATTTCTCGAAAATGATACTGCGGATCCATAACTTTTGACCGATGTTAACTTGAGATTCACTTCTGTAGGTGACGGGGAGTGGGGTTAAATTCTGTTGCCTATAAACTCAAACGTGAACAACCTGTTGTGGGTTATTATTTAGACCGATAAAATCCGTTCACGTCCTTGAAGATTAGGGATCGTGTATACTGTTCTCCGTCGCACCGAACGGTTTTCGGTTTTCAGAGAATGCTCTGTACTGGAAGCCACCTGCAAACTCTTCAGTATCGCTGGAAATCACATTCAGAAAGTTGTTACGCCAAGAAAAGTAGACAACTCTTCTCTGGAAGTGTTCAATCCCGTTGCTCCCTACCTTCACAGAACTTTTGAGTGAAGGCACATGTACATGCCTAATATGATGCAATCGCGTGATCTGTGTACCACTGAAAGAAATGGTTTAGAATGCACTCGAATTTACGGAGACATTATTACATTTAACTACCAACCCAGGACAAGTTTTGAAGATTAATGGTAGAAAAGGTATATGTACATCGATTACCTTTTCCAACCACCCCAAATGGGGAACATGAGAACTCGGCAGCATTTTGGTTTGCTTCAGGCCCGTTCCAACTAAACCGTTCCGAACGTCATCATCAACCCAGTAACACATTCAGTAGAACTTTTGGTGTCAGTAAGGCGGTTAAATGAGTTTAGACAGCCACATCTACTGGCTGTCCAGTACAGTTTTTCAAGGTCTGCTCTGCATACTGTAAGTTATGTGCGGCCTTGTTTACAAAACCCGTTGTTATTGTTCTACATTTGCGTACTCTGATCTCTTCTCTCAGCTGGTTTGCTCCGATCAAACCGCTCTTCATCTTCGCAATTTTGGTCTCCTATCTAGTACAATACTACATCCCGGCAATCATTTTTGCTCGACTGATGGAAAAGCTACGCTGTCATCGTGAAGCTTCGGAGAACCGACGGTACATCCACATCAAGACGATGCGGGTCTCTCTAGTTCTTTTCACATGTGAGTAACGTTTTTCAGGTCACCTTTAACCGTGTTCACTCTTGCCGTCAAACTGGATGAAGACACCGGCACAGGACCTATCGACGCCTCACGATCCGACGGATACCGTACAGACCGAGTGTGATTTCTATCATTTGCTAAGCGTGACCACCCTTCGTGTCAACAACAGAACTTTTGTGACCAATGCTAGGTAGATGCTTTGGGTTTTTGCGTTCACCGTACGGTTACCTCTTCAAATCTATCCGTCGGTGAGCGTCGCTGTAACTGGTTGAATCGGTGTTCTAGTGGTGTATTTTTGCGTAGAGGTTGGTGATGAGGATAACCGAAAGTGTGCTTTCTCGCCAGAATGTTCTCGTAGTAATCATGTTTTTTCCCCGGTCAAACGACTCCTTGGCTGACTATCACCCTTTGTTGATAACGATCCATTTACACACGGTCCTTCCACTCAATAGCTTATTAAACTAATCAAGAAAACCCCAGCGGACCGTGACAACCGGATTCCGCCAACGGCTTTGCACGAACAGTGAGTACTCGGGGACTTTCTGGAGGAAACCACCTCTCCACCCTAATTCACGCTATTGTAATTTCATCGGAGCACCCATTAGCTCTGAGCTTCGCGGCAATTCTCCAGAACGAGTAATATTATTAGTGCACAGATTATGGTAGCCATAATATGGTTCAGAAGGTATATGCACTAATAACAGTTTTTACTGTGGTTGACAGTGGTGAGTTGCAGCACATATAAAAATAAATGCAATGCGAAATGTGGAGCAAGTCAAAAAAGGGAACTTATCGTTTGTGAGAGCCCCTTGGTGAAAGTCCGGACGGCGGGAACGTGTTTTCTCCGCACTGTAGGTGCCGAACGTATCCTGTAACTGTCCGTGGACTTCTGGATTCTGGTTGACTCCCTGCTCCCCACGTGCGCGCGAGTCTGTCTTGACTTGGTTCGGTTTTCCTATAGGTGGGTACGTTTGCGTGTACGTGGGTGTGTCAGCCCATGACTTGTTGCTACGCTCACTAGACGGTACAGAAAGTCAGCGTCAGATGAGTCACCTCTGTGTGACGTTTTTGTGAGTTTAGAAAAAAGGTGCGATTGTCAGCTGAACAATCAAGTGGGTGGGTGAGGGAATCGCTACAGTGTTCGGAAGCACCCATTCACTGAGCAAGGCTTATGGTCGATAAACCTATATAGCACTAGATAATTCAGCTTTCGGACAACTGCTTTGTGCCTCTCCACGAGGTCACCATTTCGCACATCTGCCGGCTGTTCTTGCACTTGGTATCATTCCAGTGCTAAGGTGGCCCCAGTTGTGAATTAATATTAATAATGTTTTACGGACCCACAACTGGTTCCATACAACACTTCGGTTACCTTTGATCTCACCTTTTTATGTTCGAGGATGGCGAGTGCGATGTTTTCTATCTTGAGCCATTTGGGCGATAGCACGCGAATGACGTTGTTTAGAATTGATGCAGAAGACTTTCCATATACGAGAACACCGGCACAAATGGCAGTATTGTTTGACTGAAAACTTGTGGACAATTTGTTGGCCATTTTCCGAGAAAACCGGGAGTGTAATATAAAATGTGGCAGGTAAAGTGAAGCAGTAGTGGTTGGGAGGCGAATGTAGCCAGATAACTTGTGCGTCAATTATATAGGCCTTCAATTCACATTTAAATTTCAAACGCATCAAGTGCACTGAGGTGTTCTGAGTTTGAAATGTACGAAAGTGAGGAAATCTTGGTCTACGGAAAGTTTATCTTGGCATCACGTTCTTGTAATTTCCATGAGCTTTCCCAATTTTAATCTAAGGAGACTCGATTCTCTGTTGAGGTGTCCAAAACGGTGTGATGTGTTGACCATTCCCCGGGACATTTTTAATTTTATCCGAGTCATCTGATTTCCACCAGGATATTTAAACATCACTGTCCGGTCACCTTCCATAGGTTATTGAGACATCTTATTTAATTGCCGAGTGGCCTTGACATGGAAAGAGTATAGAGTGCACTACTGCCTGTTTGGAGGTAATGTCATACTGACTTCTGCAATAGGAGTGTAAAAGCAGTCGACCAGCATGTCCATATTTATGAGAACAGTGATACTTCCTTTCCTCGAGTAAGAACGGGATAGCAAAGGTCGGCCCTAAAAACCGATTATTCCGATCGCCAGACTGTTACTACCGGCGCATTATTCACTACGGTCGAAATACTTCTAAATCCAAAGTGTCCGCTGCCGCTCAAAAGGCACCTGCCACAGCAGCTGCATTAGAAGTGTCGAACGATACGGTGCCACCAACCCATCTGCCACTCACCTAGCAACTGTTCTGTGTCTAAACTGTCGACCAGAAAAAGGAACCAAAATAACAACTTACCGACCTCAAAAGATCTGATACACGTTGCAGCCTTCAATGGGCCTATTTTTTGTCATATTGGGCAACAGACATCTCTGTCGACGTATGCTTTCTCTGAAACACGCATGCAAGTCTCCACTTCGACCGTGAACCTCAAGCTGCTTAGGATGAGCTCAGATGTTTCACATTTCACTTTTCGGGTATCCTGTGTTCCTGACACAATGGCTCGTGGTATCTGCGGTGTGGGAGTTGCACTCAGCCCCAATGCTGAAAGCGCCTTACTAGACTGTATCCCAGTAGACAATCATCTGTGTGCTGTACGGTTGTCTGGCTCAATTAAGATCAATGGAGGTCGATGTGGCCAGCGGTGTTTATTTATCTATCGGGATGCGCTCCAACTCACTGCAGTTCTGAGATGGAGAAGGACGAGTTTTATCAAGATCTTTCACGACTGCATCGGTCAGTATGAAGGACGGCATATAGTAATCCTGGCGGTGATAAGAATGTCCAAGTTAGACGGCCAAGTCCGAAGAAGCAGTTAGGTGGTCTATTTGGAGTAGATGCTCAGTGTATGGAGGATGGGGGGAGGGGGCGACTTTTTCATTTTTGTCATCATCATGGATAGCATGGCATCAGTGTACAACACTGGTGCTTCGAGGGCGTACAACCATTATTTATTTGAGAGCCTTATGGTGAAGAAAAGAATAAAGGTGGGAGAGGAAGGGCCTTATTGCTGCTTTACTACACCCCCGGACACTCATTCGGGCAATCTGGATAGAAACTGACAACAAGAACGCTAGTGACATCGGTTGGCAGCCATCTTGCACTCTCCAACCAGGCCCAGTGGGAATCACGAGGTCTTTACAATGGAAGGCGAGTAGCACCGACAGCACCCAAACGTTTCGTAATCTCCTCCATACCCCTGTGCCAGGTCAAGGGTTGATCACCTCTCTGCTTCTGCCACTCTGAATTGGGCATGGAAAACAGCACTCTCTTCGGCAAATGATGGTTCGGCATACGCAACACATGTCCCAACCAACACAGCTTCTGGTGCTGGACACATTCTTCAATAGAAGTACTCGTTGCACAACCGAAAACTCGCCTTTTATTGCCTCTTTACGGATACACTGACATCATCTCACACGAGGTATGGTCCTGTGACAGCGGTTGTGGAATACCCGTTGCTCGAACAGGCCAAGTCTCACAGCCATACTACAAAACAGCCCGCACTGTAGTTTGATATACACGTCCCTTTACTTTCAGGGATACACCACCTTAACGCCATAGGTGTCTCAAATTAGCAAACGCGATTAGAGCCTTGCAGAATTGTGCGTTGACCTCACCTGTCACACTACAATCGGAACTAATACAACCTCCAAGATCCATAAAACGGTCCACCACTTGCAGTTCCTCTCCCTGGAGTCGAACGGCTGTGTAAGCCAATGATCGAGAACGCCATTCTGTCGATGAGACCATAGGTGGTTGGTGTCCCAATTCCGATATCGGTTTTAGGCAATTGCCACTAAATTGACTATAACACATGGGGTTACAGTGTACACTGGCCGATGAATGTGACACTATGTATCAGTTCCCCATAAATTACCTTTCAAAAGTGTGATCTTTATAGAGAAGACACATTCTTAGACTTATTGAGTTAGTCTAGCATAGTAGTGCCATAATTACCCTAATTTGGGAAGACATTGTGTCTAGTCGTTGCTGAACCATCGTAGGTGTAATTCTCCCTATAAAAGTCATCGATGGATTAAAGCCACACTGCGTTTTCCAAGAGGAATACCTATAAATCTGTGTGGCTATATCTTCTATACTGATGATGAATTTTTCAGTCGCTCATTTGGTCGAGTGATTAGGGTGCGGATTTGTACTTTTCGCTCCGTTTGACAGGCGATTGAGGAGTCCGAGACTAGGAAAAGACGAATCATCATACGTTGGCATACTCTCCATTTTCCATGGTAGCATTTTCATTGTTTTTCATCTTATCCATCTGCCGTCGACACCTTTTGTGGCTCCATGCATCACAGTTACACAGTCACAGGCCGTCACGAAGAGACTGGACCTTACCATGGTGTGGCGAGTTGTGTACCTCGGCGACCCATTGAGCTGTACTGGGGTTTGGTGCGCGCGACACTCACAGAGTCTCTCATTTCAGGTTGGTCCATGGGTAGAGGTCTGACGAACACAGTCTCCAGGTTGGGGGTTGGAACATGTATTGCAACGTGTTCCGTAAAAATGGTAATGTATTTGCATTTTCAGCCGAACACCGCTGCTTTGCGGTTAGGCTTCTGAGCCCAAGAATTTGGTTCAGGACTCTAATCGTCCTCGTGTCTAGGTGTGGGCACCCTGGCAGTATCCCAGCCCTCGAACAACCATGACATACACAACTAAAAATACTCTCATGCCACATTGGCCGTCGTGTGGTGCCAGCAGCCGGGTCGCTTTACTTGCTGCATACAGCAGGGCGGTAAGCGAAAACATGCTACTGCTAACGCCTCCCTTCTTACATTTTCACGTTTTCCTTCTTTCGCCCTCCTCCACCCAAATTCGAATACTTTCTCTGCAGGTCCCATCTCTAGGGCTGACCGTTTTGCTTGCCCTGCATCACACTCAGCTGCAGCTTCTGCACGTCTGAGTTCAGTTACAACCCTAAACACCTCGAAGTCTGTTTTCAAACCCCGAAAGCCTGTCTATTTAGCCACCTTCAATGCTCGCACACTGAAGCATACAGGTCAATAGGTGGCTCTTGCGCGAACGCTGGATTCCATCTGTATTGATGTATGTTGTCTGTCAGAAACAATGGTGTAGGACGCAAGTACTGTGATCGAACTGACTACCCTCTCGCTCTCTTCCGGGTTCCGGCTGCGCACCTCTGGTGATGCAGCTGGATATGCTGGGGTGGGTATTGTATTGAGCGAACAAACTGAAGTGTATCTGCTTGATTGGATGCCCGTTGACAGTCGCCTCTGTGCGGTTCGTTTGGCAACATCGGTGAGAGAATCTAGAGGAAGTGAGGTTCATCGCACCTTGTTTATTGTTTCTGCTTACGCCCCAACTGACTGTAGCTCTGAATCTGCCAAGGACAGTTTCTATGACGCTCTAGGTGCCCTTCTACAACAGGCTAAAAGCTCAGATATCGTTGTGGTTGCTGGTGATATGAACGCCCAGGTAGGTAGACTAAGCGCTGCTGAGGCCCGATTGGGTAGTCGTCTTGGTTTGGACACGAGACGCACGGACAACGGAGACCGGTTTCTTCAGATGTGTGCTGATCACAGACGGTTCCTTTGCAGTACGAATTTCCGGAGCAGCGGAAATTGCTTGACAACGTGGTGCCCACCATCAAACCAGCGCCGAATCCAAATAGACCACATCGCCGTCAGTTATCAGTGGCGAGAGTCGATCACCGCCCGCCGCTCCTTCTGGAACACCAGCCACCACAACTTCACCCGGCGCATCATCCGACGCCAGATGAAAATGAGTGTCCGCGCAGACCAACAAGCTTGGTGAACCCGAAAGGCCGAGGAAATGGAAGATGCAAAGAATGTTGGAAACGTGCGCAAGCTTTTGCACTTGATTCGTTCAACTGGTCGGCGGAAACCTCTTGTCAGCGAAATAATCAGGGACCAAAATGGCTCCCTGATATGCAACAAAGCAGAACGTTTGGACCGCTGGACACAGTACTTCGAGCAGAAATTCAGCTGGCCATCTGCCACCTCCAGTCCAGAAACCTGGCTATCAACAGAGAGGTGGGCGGTAAATATGGAGCCGACTTCAATTTCAGAAGTGTCCGAATGTTATTCTCCACTCAATTGTCATCATGCTGCTGGTCCTGACGACCTTCCACCCACTCTTTTCAAGGATGGTGGTGGATTCCTCAGCCAGTGCCTGTCTAGCCTATTTCGGTTTATCTGGAGACACCTGGTGTGAATCGATCTTGGTGCCCATTTCCAAAAAGGGTACTCTCAGTGAATGTAGTAACCACAGAGGTGTTAGTTTGACGCCTGTTGTGATGAGGCTTCTGGCGTCACCGATTCTTCGTCATCTTACGGTAGCACGAGAAACCTTGACTCGTGAGAATCAAGCGGGATTTCGACCGGGTAGAGGCTGCTTCGACCACATCTTCACACTCCGTCAAGTGTTGGAGCAACGCCACATGTACAGATAACCCACAATCTTCATATTCCTTGACTTCAAGGGTGCGTTTGATTCTGTCGATCGGTCAGTGCTGTTAACTACACTTGCTCAATAGGGTATGTCCCACAGGTTTGTGAAGATAATCCGATCTCTATATACGAATAATTCTGGGCGAGTGAGAGTGCACGGTGAGCTCTCCAAAAGCTTCCCTACCAAAAGTGGTGTCAGACAAGGATGTCCACTCTCTCCATTCTTGTTCAATTCAATGATGAAATGATGAGGTGAACGCTGGAAGGTCTTTAAAACCCCGGTGTTCAACTTGCTGCTGGTGAGAGGCTCGTTGATCTGGAGTACGCAGATGAAATTGCCCTCATATCTGAGGACCAAAGCGAAGCACGAGCCCTTTTGAATAGCCCGACTACCATCACACAATCTTCTAGCATGCGCCTTTAAAGTGCGAAGGCATGGTTCAGAACGTACCATCTGCGAACATATTCCTTACAATTCAAGGAAAATCACTGGAGATTGTGGATAATCTTACAGACCTCAGTAGTTGTATTAGCTCTGACGGAAGTGTGTCTGATGAAGTCAGTGCGGGAATCTTAAAGACTCCAATCACATTTGTTAATTTGCGTCACTTGTGGCGCTAAAAAGGCGTATCAGTGGATCTTAAGGGTCGCGTGTACAAGGCTACAATATGAGCTGTGTTGTTATATGGGTGCGAGATATGGCCCCTGCGGACAGATGATTTGAAGCGTCTTCAGGTTTTTAACCACCGATGCCCCAGAAGCGTGGCTGGTTTTAGATGTTATCAGCGTGTTAGTAACGGGGTGATTAGAAAACGGGTATTTGGTTGTCCGACAGGTATTTCAATCCGGGAAAACATCCAGCATCATCGACTACAATGGATCGGTCATGTGCTACGCATGCCGAAACGCCGTCGACCAAGACAAGTGTTGTTCTCCGTGCCTCCTTCAGAATGGCGCAAACCGCGAAGTGGACAACGCATGACTTGGCAGAAGGGCGTGGAAGAGATCACGAAGAGTTTGGGTGTTGCTGGTGTTGTAAGCCTTTCAGGATGGGGTCCCCGTCGCCCCATCTGTGCTTGGCTGGCGACGTTGTAAGAAATGGCAGCTAATTGATGTCAGTGGTGTTCGTGCTGTCAGTTTCTTTCCAGATTGTCTGATTGAGCGCTTGGAGGTGTAGGTACCACAGAATGGTTGGCATATGCCAGCACTGGATCCCCTCTCTCGCCCACTCTTTTTATCTTCTTTTCACTCTAGGGCTTTAAATATAATTAGACGAACCTTATATTTGTACGACAGTGAAGCACATCAGTGTCAACACTGACGTTGCTGTCTTGATGACGACGACGACGATGATGATGAGTTACACTTGATTTAACTTACCGGAGAGAGCTAGAGAGAGAGAGAGAGAGAGAGAGAGAGAGACGGACCTTATGGTTGTACGGCGGTGAAGCATCATTGCCAACACTGATGTTGCTGTCTTTGATAATAATGATGATGATGGTTACTTACAACATTTGGAAACTCATTTCGCCCCATCACCTTTAATGAATGCCGTGAAATTGTTGAAGGCATAGAGAGGTTTGGATTCTCTCAGAAATAATGATGATGATGATGAGTTACAACATTTGGAAACTCATTTCGCCCCATCACCTTTAATGAATGCCGTGAAATTGTTGAAGGCATAGAGAGGTTTGGAAGTTTTCTCTCAGAATTTCGTCCTGCGAGTGAAGTCACTCTCTACTGAAGACCTTTTGTTCCATCTCTAAAGATCGATCTCGTCGTGTGAGTGAGGCCAATGTGTGCTGAGAATCCGAAAAGCACTATACAGCTGTTTCCTCCTTGTTGAGAGTCATTAGCTGTGCGCATTTCAGGAAACTCCAGAGTCTCGATCCCTGTCTCTCCCAGTTTGGAGTTTGAACATTTTGACCTTTGGTCACCAGTGCCTGTTCTTCAGTTCGCACTTGGGATATTGCACCACTCATTCTTTCGTCACGGACACCACATCATTCGGTCACGTGTAAACTGGATTCTTGAGTGACCACTTCGTAGATGGAGGGTTCGTGCGATGAGGTTCATGTGAAGCGCAATACTGACGATCCAAAACAGGGTTGAAACAGTTCTACGGTGCTTCTCCGCGTCTCTGCACAGGTTAACTTCACTCAGTGCACAAGCTCGACTGAAAATCCTTTGAAACTTGTGAAGTGAATATCAGCACGGAATTCAATACTCCGTGTATTTGAAAGCTTAACTCGCCGTGGTGCGTTACCTCCAAAACAATTTTTGTATCGGGAAGGTCAGACTCTTGGAAGTAACCAATGAATACCCGAAATCTACTGAGACTCTCAACTCCGCTTTTTGCTGATCAGGTATGCAGCGCGTGACAGCGTTGTATTGAAGCCAGATAGCGCGAGACAGCGTTGGATCAAGGTCAGACAGTGTCCATTGGTGCCCATTATTCGCACAGCTGCAAAACCTTTACCAGTGGAGTAAAACTTTGTACGCCAAAATGTCCCATTTTGTCGCGTATGTGCTCAAACCAAAAAACCGTCCTAATCTACGTTCATATTTTTGCAGCCCACCAAGTTTCATTGTTCCCTGAAGCAATTGTGCCTCTGGCTGAAAAGTTTTGTGGGATAATCCGCCAGCATCACCGGGATGCTTAAGTGGGGCTTAAAAGTTTATACTCGTGAAAGGAAGAAGGCCTTCGCTGCGGAGTTATTTATTCGGAAATGCCAACTGACCGGTTACAGACCATTGAACAAAGAAGCAAAACTCTATTCTGCATCTTAGTTACAAAACTGGACGCAGATTTTCTCCCGAACGAGTCTTCCTAGAGATTCATTGCCTCCACCCATTCGTCGGTCAAATCCAAGCAAATGTTACAAACTGGCCCCACGAATTCCGCAACAGGATTCCATTTTTCAATCGAGGCAAAACGAAATTCTACGAACAACACATACTACTCGCGTGCCTCCCGATAAGTAGTATCACCGTTACACTGGTACTCTCAACTCAGTTGCCTGATTGCTTTAGTCCATCAGAGACACGTCATAACTTTCGAAAATTCAATTCCATTGTGCGAATATTGAGCGCCGTGTCCATCCAATAAAATAGCTTGAGGCCGTTGTATTTTCGCACTCGCCTGTTTGGAGTAAAGCTGTTGTGTTCCCTTCGGTGAGTTTTTTTCGGCACTAGGCACCAGAGCGGGGTAGGCAGTCAGATACAACAGATTGGCGAATCATCAGACATGACAGTTTTACACGCAAACCGAGGCGCGGATGGATGATTATCACGAAATAAAAATGATAAGGGCGGTGAGGCTAAGGTGGTGAGGTATTCACGCCGCACTATATGGGGGTTGTTTTCGGTGATGTTTGATAAGGTTTTGAGTTTACTTAACTTCGGGGACACAGTGGAGTGGTCTTCTGACAGGTGGATAACTATTCTCAATACGAGAAGTGTAACGGAATAGGCTTGTGCAACAATGCAGTCTTATTGTGAACAGTTGTGTCACCATGGAGTGAGCTTGTGGTGCCGTTAGATCGACCGACTGATGTATTGATTCCATCTTACAACGGTTTTTCAAACAGCCGCACACTGAGAAGTCAAAGCTGTTTACTCAATTTGGGTTTGTACTTAGATGTAAAAGGTTTTGCGGCATTCTTATTTTCAGGTATATGGTATCCTGCTACAGTCGGTCGTGTGCACACGATGCTTACGAAAGATGGTTATATGGACGAAGTGCAGTTTACCCGGGCTTCATTTGGGTGACTTTGGGTGATTCTGTTGCTTACTGTTTCTTACGCTCAAGGCAAAAACTCCATTCACACACAATTGGTGATTATATCAGTATCTGGCCTCTCAACCATATTCTGGATGTACCATTGATTTTTGACGTTATGTGGTAGTCAAACGAGATAACGTGAACAGCTTCCATGACTATCTCAATAGGTTAAGTTCACACATCAAGTTTAGTATGGAAATAGAGTCCATCTCGGGCACATTGCCCTTTCTGAGCTGTATAAAATAAGATTAGTGGGAAATTAAAAACTACGATCTACCAGAAACCAAACGACACAGGAATTGTCTTCAACTATTCATCAGCACCCCAAAAGTCCGTGTACACCAGTATTTTCTCATCGATATTTGGTCGGGTCGGACGGCTGTGCGCAGAAGAGATCGACCAAACGGCAGCTCAAATCGAGATTACAAACAGACTTTAAGAAACAGGATACCCAATGAGCTTGATTTGGCGTCAATTATAAAAGATATTGGCTCCGGTTTCTAGACCCAGTAAGGAATGGATTGGCACAGCAGTCACTCCAAATAAAGCAGGGACATTGGAGGTTATTCGGAGACTGTTGAACCTAGCCAACGTTCTAGGAAGGAAAAGCGCTACGTTCAGTTTTTGTGTAATTGAAAGATCCCTTGCCGGTTGGAAGGACTAGGGACTGTGTGTATAAAATTAACTGCAACGACTGCACCGAGATTTACATAGGACAAACTGTTAGGGTGTAAAAAATAAACATGATTTCCAGCAAAATCTGTGGTGGTTGGACGAAGTTCTGGTACGTTTCATTGCT